TTTGCTGACAACACTGACCATAGTAATGGGCAATATTCTGGTTTAAGAAGGTATTCTGAGAGCAGGCTCTACACAAACTTTCAAGGGAAGGAGACTACCCCAGAAAAGCATGTAAACAACTGATTTTTACTGCTGAACACTGATGCAGCTTAAGTGTAATTCTTATCTAAAGTAATTCCTACACCTTTTGATTCATAGGACAGTATATAACTGCTGTGGAAATGAATAGTTTCTATTTGCACATCCAATTTTCAGTTTAAAAGCAGGTGCTTAACTGCAATTCTTTCCTGACTTTCCAGGTTCAAGCATCATACCTGAGTATCAGCATGACAATTCAAAGGCCAAAGTCGACCAGCTGAGAGGTACTGACTGAGCTTGAATTTTGCATGAAACCATTCTTGGCCATAAGTTACAGAAGAACAGTGTGCACCTGTTCCCAGGCTTTCAGCATGCTTTCCGAGAAGTTCTGCTAATTCTAATCATTCAAAACAAAATTCCATCAAATTTGTCTTTCATGAAGTACACACTGGATATTTGCATTTATGTAAGGCTCCAGTTTAAGGGCAGCAAACAGAGAGACTTGCAATCTTTAATGCAGTCTGACCTTACAAACACTGCAAGGTAGGGAAGTATCATTATCTCTGTTTTGCAACTGAAACTTTTATGACCTGAACATCAAAAATATCATACAATATATCATTCTCATTTAGGACCACAGTGGTAGGGATGTACAGGCATCTGGCATCTTGGTAAGATTACACTGATTTTCTTTCACAATGGCACTGTTAAAGCTCTGCTCCCTGAGGAGTTTTACGAATGGAGAACTGAGGCACATTAAATTTAAAAGCGTACACCAATAATAGATGTACTTAGCATTTCTTATACCAAACCATCTATTTTATAGCAGTGCTCCTAGTGATATGTGCTGCTACTGGGAGCGTTCAGCACTTCCACTAATCACACTACACAGTTTCAAACTGGATGTTAAAAAAAAAAATTGCCTACAGCTTGTCTTACAGAGTAAAACAGCCACAGAAAAGGGTTATTTGGAGGTCAGGGGAATGCAGGGAGCCCCTGCAGAGAAGTTTGCATGGCTATATGTTTCTCCTTAAAGCAGTGGCTTCAGGCTCAACTCTGGCCAAAGAGCCTGCAGTAACTCTACCATGCACAGGACCTGCACCTTCTGACTCAGAGCATAGCAGCAGAGGGGGGATTACAGCCTTGGCAACACCGGATATATTTTGTGCAGACAAAAGAATGGGCTGAAATTCTTCCCTTGGGAAATGGGTGTACGGCAGAAGACAACAGACAACTGGTCTTTGATGCTAGATGTTACATTGGGAAAGATGGGGAAGGAAGGAGAATTGGCGTTGACATTCTCATTCAGGAAGTGAGGAGATTCACTCATCTGTGGAACTACTGTATGCCTTTAACGGGATACGTATGTGCATTAGGCCCCATGCTTTCAGTATGTCCAGTAAGTCTGATGATTTCAAAGTACAGATACACGGGGCTTGTGAAGCATCTTAAGACCTATGAACCCTTAGCAAACTAGTCAGGGGTTCCAACACGTAGCATCATTTGGACACCAAATACCTTAAAACTCCAGACAAGTGTCAGAGAAACAAAACATCTCATCGCATCCCAATGGTTCAACTTATCACTGGGAACAAGGGTTTTGCGTGCCCTTGTATGCAACTCGGGAAGTGAGGAAACACTACAATTACCTGCAGCCATTCATGAGTTCCAGAACATAACCTGTCTGGTAAATGTTTCATTCCCCCTTGTCCCTCCCTTCCTTTCCCCTATAATCCCCTCAAAACAATGAGTATAGACAAAGTCACATATCCTTCTTTTTAGCAACTTTTAGCAATGAAAAGCGAGGGACAACTCTAACTATGAGAGTTGATTTCTCTTTGCAATACCATATGTGCACTTGAGTTTGAAGTAGATACACTACTCCAAACATAAAGCAGTAAGCTTTGGAAACCACTTGGGTGTAAATGGCTGTGAACCTATGTAATGCATTGTTATGTGTTTCGTGTACACTTCACACTTGGCAGGTTTATTACTACCTAGAGCTTCACCCTTCCTGAAAACAGCTCCTTTACCTTGCCATGTTATGTTATGGTTTGCCTTATATACAGCCTATGGCAACACCCCAACCCGCATTATTTTTAAAAGTGGCAATGACTTTAAAGGAACACAAAAGCACAGGAACATCACAAATGATAACAGGGATATGAAGTTGCCCTTCCTTCCCTTCTGTCCAAATCAAGTAATAACTAAAGAACTGTGGAAGTTCAGTCCTGTATTTCTCAAGTGCAGATCAAAACAAGCCCCGAGTTACTAGAATTTCTCTGGTAGTTACATCGCAACTTCCTCCTCCGTCATAACAAGATGAGCAGAGGAGCCCTCTGACACACTCTGCCTTCAGAAAGCCGCCCCAAGGGAGTTCTAAGCGCTGGTAAATAACCGCAGACGACACTGTTCTTTAAAAACAAAAAAAATAGCAGAGCTTACATAAGCAACAATAAATCAACTATATCTCTCAGCCAAGTTGAAGATGAGACCAACCTGGTGGTAAACCAAGACTTCCAAAACTGTACTCTTAATGCTTAAAATTTTAAAGCAGAATCAATATCCTACTGCCAACAGAACATTTTCTATTTCTCAATTCTGTCAAAACTGTCTTTCAAAAATATTTTGCAACAGTAAGATAACAACTCTTATCCTTTAAATAGTCACCCCCTCACACACACTCTTTGTAAAACGAAAATCAAATCTTAAATATACAAACTGAAAACATGGACAATATCTACTCTTAGCTTTGCTTCTGTTAATAGTTATGCCTAAAGTTTAAGACCTTTCTCAGCTGAAGCATCTATTACTTAAAGCACAGTAAATTTTACCACAGCAATGACAGTTAGAAGACAGTGTCCTTATTGCAAAGATCACATTTCAGTATTTTCAGGTCCAATTCAAAAGTACTTGGGAACACTGTTTTAACAGCCTAATTCAACTCCTAACAGAAAATTTTCTGTAATAAATACA